AACTACACCTGGTCCGGCCACCGAAGTTCCTTCGGTTGAAACAACAGCAGGATACACCACGATTCCTGGTGTCGGTATTACCACTGAGGGATATACAACACAACCAGGAGCCACAACACCTGCAGGTGATCGCAGGATCACAACTACACCTGGTCCGGCCAACAAAGTTCCTTCAATTACAACAACAGTAGGATACACTACGATTCCTTGTGTAAGAACTACCACTGGAAGCGCTACAACACCACCAGTAGCTGCGACAACTTCGGGTGAGGCCATAATCACAACCACACCTGGTCCGGGCACCGGAGTTCCTTCGGCTGAAATCACAGTAGGATACACTACGCTGCCTGTGGTGAGAATCACGGCCGAGGGAGCCACATATCCACTAGTGTCTGTCACACCTTCAGGTGAGGCCAGTCTTACTACACCTGGGCCGGCCACCGAAGTTCCTTCCGTTGAAACGTCTGTGGGTTACACTTCAGTTGCTACATTCAGAACCACAAAAGAGGGAGTAACTGTAGTTCCACCACTTGAAACAACTACTGGCTCTTTGATTGTTCGAACCACCAGCGGCTTGGTTGAAATTATAACACCCTCCGGCTATGGCACTGCAATACCTACCACGCAACGTACTGTCACCGTTACACCCATCTACGTAGAATTAACCACATCAGAAGTATTTATGCTGACTACACCTGAAGTCAGTCCTCTAACGACCTTGCAAGTGTCCTATGGCGCAAATGTGACAACAACTGAAGCGCCGGTGGAGGGTAATGAAACCGCCAAAACAGTAAGACCACACCTAGCCAGTACAATACAACCCCCGACCAAACCCTCAATCCGCTGTAAGACAGACACTGACTGCACGAACGAAGAGTTCTGTTACTTACCGACCTTCTGCCAAATGCACAGTCCTGACTATATGATCTGTCGAACAGTTCAACATGTGCCTATGTGCTTTTGCGATAATGCAGCCGATGTAAATACACCTGATTGTCATAAAATTGCAGGTAACTTCACAAGTCTTCTTCTGTACGTATGTATTAGTATGTCCGTATAAAAGAAAAAGATGCTCGTTTAAGAAATAGTTTGTTAGAAAAATAGCAGAGCAAATGCTACATAAATGAAACACTCTTGGAATGAGTTTGCAATGCGGGGTTGCGGTTTATGTATAGCGACAGCCGGGTGGATTGCCGCAAGGACGTCTGCTTCTACCTACCAAGACTTCTATTGTATGTTCTTCACACTATCTCACACTATCTGCTGAGCAAAAAGCAAAACCAATTTTATAAAAAAAATGTATGTCGAGCGGCAAAGTTTTGCAATGCAAATATTGTTTTGGTACAACTTTTTTTGTATTAAGTATCGAGTATCACCACCACTCATAGCCGTATGTCTCCTGCATGCAAAAAGCAACCATCTGTTCGAATTCGTATTAGTTTTCCGGACACCCTCTCTCGCGCTCTACCTGGTCACATTGTTAAGTTTATGTTATGTGACTTTGCCGCTCAGCTATTTGTTTGTTCTTTCCTTACTTTTTTATACTTCCTCATTTGTGTTATCGCTCTTATGTGAATGCCCTTTTTTGGGATTACCTAAGCATTTATCCTGCTTCTACTTGTGCTCCGCGCTCACTCTCTTTCTCTTTCTCTCGGTCTCTCACTTGCATGCGCACCAACCACGCACTGTTGCGCGTTTTTTGGCATGCGTGTTTATTTTGGAAAAAAAGGATGAATGTGAGCTCAAGTAGTGTTTCAGCTGGATCAAATGTATCCTTTTATGTTTGCATTGCCTTTGGGATTCATCATCAACTCTCAATCCGCATATACCCTTATTACACAAGAAATATGTTTTGCAACGCTGGACTTCGCTGGAAAACAACAGTACTGTCTATGTTTTGCATGTTCTCTTGGCTCTCTCCCTTTCTCAATGGTGATTGATTAGTTACAGAATTCTTTATATGTTTTCAATTATTATGTGTATTTCTGTCATGTATTTTGTATTCATTATTTGAGCGTATTGTTGTTGCTATTTGTTTCAATGCAACGGGTTACTGCAGTTCCAATTATGTATAAGAGAATGAAAAGAGTTTCTCTTGTTTATCTCATGACGTTCAATCACAAACATTATCGATCATTTTCGCCATTGAACTAGTTATCGAATCTCCACCCTTTTTTCTTTCCCGATTCCCTCCCGTGACTTTCCGGCCTATTTTTCTTTACTCCTCGTTTCTCTCTCTCTCACTCCCAACGGATTTTTCTCACTATCCCGCTGTACCTTTTTGTTACACTTTCTGTCACTCTAATTATCTCTCTTACTCTCTATCCTTACTCACTCATCACCATGCTCTCTTTGCATTTTTGTCATTCCTACTTTTCTCACGCATCTTTTCCATCCTCCTTTTTCTCCTCCAGTCTCTTATTACTCATTCTTTCTCGCATTTTATATTCTTCTTTCATTTTATAATTAAGTTGTTGTCATTTTTGTTCACTTCACTTCCCCTTATTTAACCTTTTTCTCTCTTTTATCACCTTCAATCCCGCTCTTCTACGTTTTGCCTCTGTCTCCCTGCCGATCTACCTCACTTGTAACGCTCACTCATATTCATTTTTAATAATCCAAGACATTGAACTCTCTTTAAGGGTCCCTGCCTATCTTTTTCTTCCTCATTCTCCTATTTCTCTCCTCTCAGCACCTCTCTGATTCTCTCTCCTATTCTTTCTCACTCCTTAACCTACTCTCTACACTTTTTTCTCATTTTCCATCGTTCCATCCCTTTTCCCCTCCTCTTTCTCTCCTGAAAATTCCTGTTACTCATTGTTTGTCCCATTTACTTTTCTTCTTTCTCTTTATAATTTTTCACCTCTACTTTCTTGTTCCTAACTCTCATGCTCTTCACTTTCTTCCTAATTCCTTATTTTTCTGACGCTTGCTCTTTCTCTATTCTTTTTTCTTACATCCTGTCCTCTTCTTCCTCACTTCTCATTTCTTACTCCACATATATTCCTTATTCTGCATCCTTCTCATGCCGCCTTTTTGCCTCTTCCAACGACCTTTTGCTCCTTGTAATTCCCTTTTTTTCATTTTATGCCACCGTACTCGATTTCATTCTCCCACCTTCTTAAATTATACTTTTTTCTCTAAACATCTTTCTTTAATCATCTCCCATCCCTCTATCCCTCCAATTTGTTTCTCTCCTCCTTTCGCTTACCATCTCTTCATCATCAACGAATCAGCCATCGCATACTTTCATTTTGTATCATAGTCGCCTCTTTTTCCACGCGCAATGGTGGACTATGAGCATGCGCGTACCTCGTTTGGAGCTTGCGCGCGCTGTGAATCATCTACATATACATACATACATTTGTTGCATGCAGCATGTTTCTGCATAAATCTTTGGCAAGAATTTATGAGTAGGACTAACAATTCGGAGGTGTGATAAAATGGAAAAATAATTTTAATGTACATAAAATATATAT